TTGTTTTCTAGTCTGAAATTCACACATCTACTTTTATGTGTATCCCAATTAGTGCAGCTTGTTAGTTTTTAAATTCAAGTGTGGAAGTTCTATAACTTATATATTGGTATTATAAAGGTCTATACTAAGCATATCACAATTGATTTTATCTTTTTCAAATAAATGATATTGAATCGATATTTAGTCTGTTGATTGATTTCTATCTATTCTTTAAAATTTCTTTGTATATATATAGTGTGTGTGACATTATTGCGATGGCTAGTTTTGAAGTGTTTTGTTTTGAGAGAGACAGTAAAAGCTCTCAATTCTTCCTATCTCTTCTTTTTTGCCTCTCATGCCGATGGTATCGTGTTTTGGTGGTTGTCGTCGTGAAAAGGGACTAGACTAGTAGACTTGCCAATCTTACTGATTGTTTTCGCAGTCATAACATATTTTGAATGCCTTACATTGTTTTTTTTTGCTGAATGATTATTTTATTTGTATGTTTTACTGTTGTATATAGACAGTCTCACTCAACGAAGTTTCTAACTGTTTCATGAGTCAATTGGTGTATTGTGCTGTATTACACTTTGACTTTGAATGTGAATTTACCCTTTCAATCATTGGAAAATGCTCATAAGTAATTTAAAAGACTGATGAATAAAGTCGTCATCAGGTTCTACATTTATATGACCATTGTAATTTAAGAATTACTCCTATTAATAACATTAATGCTGTTTTAAATTATATTGAATCGATAGTATCAACAGGATTATACTTCAAAGGCATCAGTATGAGATAATATACATTATATAACAGTAAACTGATTATCGGATGAATTATGGAAAGGAACACATAATTTATGAGTTTATAGCTTCGACAGCAGACCAGGATAGAAATAGTGGCTGGATCTGTGTTGTTTGCATGCAGGGCTCCAATTAATTTAGTCGAATTGCAATGACTTCTGGTGTTTGGGGTGTTCAGTATCTAGAGGCCTTTGGTAGTTTATTCGATAGAAAAAGACTCTTCAATGCTGCTAGCTTTGTGGCCTGTTTTTGGACGTGGTGATCCAACATAGGACTTTTGACGATTTTAACAACATTGTAATTTAGCCTCGTAGGTAGTTGTTCCCGAGCACGAAAATATAGTTTCCTAGAACAACGGCCAATGTAACGGGCTCCGGAAGATGATACTTAGGAGGACTTCGTATACTTTTGGAAGTGTGTGGGTGGTTGTTACTTCCCAGCTGTCCACACCGTGGAAGTTGGTTGATTCTTCGGGTACCTAAAACAGAAAGAAAGTTAGTATTGTGTGACCTCAGAGCCCATGGGACAACTGTTTGAGGTCGGTCACACACATGGCTTGTATGAACTGGTTTCTTGGATTGGTTCCGTATTAGTAAATTTACCGCCGGTTACGGACCACCGTAGGGTAAGTCGAAATGTACAATTGTTGGGGTCGAACTTTTCTAAAAACCTCTCTCTCCAGAGTGGAGAGACAGCATAGCTGACATGCTGGTCGTGTGAGGGAAACACCTTACTTCTGTTACAACCCTCGCCCACAGACCTCCAGCATAGTGTAAGAAAATCTTACACAATGCCGGTGACTGCTTTTATTCTAATCGCTATTTCTAACAACCTTCCTGACATGTTAGGATCTTCAGGAACAATAGTTCTGGCCAGTGTAGCTTGTTGAGTCATTGCTATATGCAAGCCCGATGACCACGTCAAGGTAATAGCTATGGGTCGCGAAGTGGTTCCACACGAACAGCTGATAGATTGATAGATACACTTAGAGGTCATTAGTCTGCGTACTTCGTTTACCAGTATGTGAATGACAACCGGTTTTGTGTAAAATAATAAGCTGTAGCTTATCGGCATGAAACGTTCGTTGAGTCGATTTTCTCTAACTGGCTGGTTATTATTTCATTTGATATATCCCACCCCCAACCCCCCGCCTATAAACTGTAGTCGTATATATAAAGGCATCTTGTTAAAAGATACAAAATAATTATTTTCTACTTTCTTGGCCATCTGTTCAGTGATACTTCTTCAGGGTAGGTGTTTTCATAAATAGCATCGACAGATGCTATTGGTTCATTTTTACTTGAACCAGCATTAATGTTGTTAGTTATTATGGTTATATAAATGTTGAATGTGATGACGAATTTATTGAAAAGAATGTTCTTTGCTCAATTAATCAGTCTTTTAAAGTTATTCTTTTCTAAATGTGCGTCGGTGGCACAGCGGTTAGGACGCTCGCCGACCATGCGCATGGTCTGGGGTTCGATCCCCGACCGACGCACACCCGATATCAATAGTCGGCCTGCAAAATTTGGGCTACCGATATCACATGCTGAAAATTTCATACTTGTATCAAAAATACGGTGTGGAATCAAGCTATAATAAAATAATATGTCTAAGTTAATCCTACGTATAACATTCCTTGTTTGTATATCTACTGTGTGTGTACATATAACGTTATACGTTATTTCTATTCAGTGGTTTACTGAGGTTAGTTTATGCACATAAATCTGTCAATGTTCGTGGTGTGTTGTTTTGTTGTTTCTTATATATAGGTTGATGGTTATTTTCACTTTTTTGTTAATTTATGGTTCCCTGATGTGGTTTTTCTGTTGAGTTAGATTTTTGAGGTGAATGAATGGGTAGGAGGAGGATGAGGAGAAGGTTGACTGGTTATGGGAAATCAAATCAAATTTTTCAACACATTATGTGTCATTTTCTGATGTTGTATGTGTAAATATTTTCTTTCCTGAATTGTACGACTGTTGTGTGACATTTTTACACCTTTATTTTATTCTTATTGTATAATTTGAGATAATTTGAACTAGGGTTAAACTCGTCAAAATCGTATTTCCTCAGTTATATATATAGACAACTAAACGTGAGCATTGTCCTTCGTGTTTTTTGGTGACGCATAGAGTGCTTCAAGCTTTTGAAGTCTCATTAGCGGTGGGTGGGATCGATAGCTTCACGCTCAACCTTTCAATTTTTTCCCAGGTTTAAGCTGTTAGGGTTTTCTATCAGTTCGGAAAGGTTTGTCAAGTGTTCGGAGGAGGGGGGTAATCGAATTCTGGTTGTGGGGCTAGACTGCCATTGGACCACTGACCCACGGTGTTTTCATCTTACTCAACTAAATTGAGCTTTTCTAGAATTGGATCCCCCAGTTAATTGTCATTCATGGTTTCGACTATTAATACGACGTTTCATCTGTTAGAATTGTCCAACGTCTATCTCTATTTCCTCTACTGTTCATAGTACATATATGAAAACTTCAGATTTAAGGATCATTTTAGCCTGAATAATCACAACTATTTTATGAATTATTTTCATTCATTGCATCAGCTGGAGTCTTAATTGACATTCCAACACATAGTTATAGAAATTTTATTGTAGATGTTTGACCTCTATGACATTATTTATCTTTAAATATAAATAATGCTAGAACCTATTATCTTTTATTTTATGGTAACGAGTTAAACAGTTGTTAGCTTTTCGTCACAAACCAGTATCAGCTAGAGAGACTATTGAAAACCACGGAGCACTGGAAAGCTGTCCAGTTCTGCTGTGGGACTCTTCATCAGTGCCCACTATCAGTCGAACCCGTAACCTTCAAGTTACAAGACCAAGCTCACTGACCATTCAAACCACTTGGGCTGGAATTCAATGACCCGTGGATTCTTACTTCGTCAACTGGCGATATAGCTCTGCCCTCACCAATGACTTCCAACCCCCCCCCCTATAAACCCTTTAATCTGAATATCCATCGCTAGCTGACTGTTGGCTGCTAGATAGATGTCCTGAAATTCGGGGTGCGATTCCTGGTGGGGTCGTGTGTATGCACTGCTGAAGAGTCGAAGAATAGGACGAGACAGCTGTCCAGTAGTCTCTCTAGATGTTGTTGGTTTGTGACTAAAATGTAACAATTATAATTAATTCAACATCCTCACAAATCTGATAATATTAGTAAATTCTGTTATTATAAAGGTGGAAATCATACCAATTGTTTGTACGACTAACTTGTTCTAATTGCGAATGAAATTTGCAAACAATGAATACTCTCATTTGTATTTTAACGACGTGCCTACTTGCTGAAGTAGTACAAAGCTTAATTTAATAATGATAAAGTGTTACAATGTTAGGTTTATTGGTGTTACCAAATTTGAAAAATCTTATAGACATAACACAAAATAGTTTATTTGAGGGGAGTGATGTTGTAGGTGGCCGTTTTTTTGTCTTACTGAATCTCAGTCTACAAGATTAATCACTTCCCAGCATATACATGTGCTTCGAATGATTTTATTTAATGTATTCAAATTCAAGTAAGTTCTGACTGTTTTGAACAACTGGTTAGTTTGTAGAGATTTGATTTATTTCTAGTTTGACCACGGATTGATATCAGCTAGAGAACCATTGAAAACAGCAGTGAGTACTGAACAGCTGTTTCATCCTAGTTTGGGAATCATTGGCAGTATGCATCCACGGGCTGAATGAATGATCTACAAGCTTGTCTTGTAACTGGAAGGTCCGTTGTCAATCTTGAAAGTTCTAACCGTTTTATGCCTTATGTTCTACATTCCTAAGACTTTTACTGTTCTCCTTGTTGAGTACAGATCATATCGTCTTTGTACATCGGGTTTATGGGTTTAGACAGACTATATTGTAACAGTTCCTTTGAATTAGACTGGTATACACAGCCTAAATTGTCTAGCAGCTGATCATTGACCTGTTTTTTTACACTTCTGTGAATAAATCAATAAGGATTTTTGTTACCGTAATATTGAAACATTGTACAATCAAAACTTCAGCCTTATCATGCTGTTTTTCTGTTGTGTCTTTTTTTGTAAAAAAGAAGCAGTTTTATAATTTCTGTTCATTCTTTTTTCTGTTTTTCTTATCCCTTTTTTATATGAACTATCTTGGTGGTTGTTAATACCGCCTGAACAATTTAAAAAAAAAACGTAATCCTAACCACTTCATCATCATCATCATGGTCATTAGCACAATTCACTGAATCTATGCCATGAAGTTAATTCTGGTAGTGATGGTGTCGTGTCTGGATGGTCAAATCCTTTTTTTGATCCTGTTGTACCATGGCGTAAAAGTTCACATCAATACCCCCATCAGCAGCAACAACACAAAAGCAGTATGAATAGTTTTCGTAAGAAACTCTCCTCTCGTCGCATGAAGTTCACTCGCCAACGCAGTGTTGATGATAATGAAGGCGTGGTGACGGTGATGAATACCGCCGGCAAAGATACATTGGATATACGAGCATCACAGAGTACTGGAGATCTGGTAGTGTTCGAAATAGTGGATTAGATGTGCTCACTTTATTTACTTGTTTATTTTTGTTTCTGTTTAGTTAGCGGCTTCTTATTTGTCCTTCGTGATTGATGTTTTTTATGTTTGTTTTTATTTCTGCTCACTGAATTCATGTTTTCACACGCTACTGCTTAGTTTGTGTATTTTTGCAAGATAGCAGCTGTTGTATACGCAAATCATTTGTCTATATGTGCATTTTTTAAGTGTTGGTTTACAGGGATTTGACTGATTGGTTAAAGGATTGGTCATGAGCTAACATCAGTTAGAGAACCATTCGAAAGCCTGCGAGTACTGGACAGCTGTTTCGTCAGCCTAGTTTGGGGCTCTTCATCAGTACGAACCCAGGACCTTCCGGTTACGAGGTGAGCTCGTAGACTATTATGCCTGGGGTTCTAGTGAGAAGTCGTTACCAGCGGCGTCTACCAAGTCAGGCAAGAGGACAGTCACTTGCCCGTGACATAGGCTGGCGGTTGCCCTAAATATATCACGAATTGGCGGAAGTTGGGATTCATGGACCATTGGGTCGGATCCCACTGGCTGCCTTGTAACCGGAAGGTCCTGAGTTCGAGCCCTGGCGGTGGGTGCGTACTTCTGAAGAGTCCGAAGCTAGGACGAAACAGCTGTGCAGTACCCCCAGGTTTTTCAATGGTTTTCTAACTGATGTATTTTTCAATTTGGCGAATTATTATTATTATTGTTGTTGTTGTGATTGAGATGGATGGGATGGTGGTCATTGAAGGATTCATCCTCATCATCACACGCACACTCACACATTGGCGTTTACTTTTAGTTTACTACTCTATGTCTATATGTGCCTATTTATTTTAGTTGTATCATAGTTGTGTTTTTTCTTCATTTTTCACTATCTTTTTGTTTCATTTGGTATGTGTGTGTTTGTGTTGATCCATCGCACTGATGATCTGATCTTAGTTTTGTCACAGGCTTGATTATTAATTATCAACATCTGCTGACTTAGTTTCTCCCCTGTTGTGTTGTCATACATACACCCTTGTGCGCGCACATATATCTCTACAGAACCTCATCTACTAATACTGATTAATAGTAGATGTGGGGTGGAGTGGCGGGTGGGGTTAAATATTGCACTGATGAAAATATCTTTAATTATGCTGTCATTGATTTTGCCTTGCACACATATGTGTATAAATAATGCTGGTATGTTTTCTTTGTAAAATTGTACTTTTGTTTTTTCTAATTCTCTTTATATAGAGTGTTGTAAATTTAAAGACAATCGCTGATTTATGTGATCCAAATCGTGTTAAACGTCAGGGTACATTTCATCAAACTAATGGGTAGGTGTAATAGCTTTTCCCCCTTTGTATGGATTAATTTCATTATTTATTTATTTATTTTTGATGATTCCCTTGGCTTCCGAGTGGAACATAGCGCTTTGACAGCACATCTTCATTTCACCCTGCTCCTCTTTGGTTGGTTCCATAGATTGCCTATAGTTTCTCACCTCTCTTCTCTCCTCCATGTCACCCTCGAAGTGACGCCTAACTCGTCGTTTCCCATTCGGGTTCTACTCAAGCGATGGTCTGACGCGTGATGTTATTCAACAGTCTCCCCAGAGTGTTTTCGATCCATCTTCATTTTTCTTCGGGATATCCGTTGATCAATAATGTTCTTGATTGGTTCATTCCACTGCAGAGTTCCTTGCTGCTAATTCTTTCTGGCCAGCCATCTGTTCTTCAGTATAGAGCCTGGCGAGGATGGCTGTTGGTAAATGTCTGCAGTAGGTTGTTGGTAACGCGCCATGTTTGTGACCTTATACAGAAGAACTGACTGACTTGACATTGGTTTTTGGAAATCCGGATCTTGTCCTTTTCGCTGAGTGCAGAAGATTTCCAAACTGATTTCAGAGGGATGGAGGTCTGCCTTGTCTTTTCGATCCTGGCCTGCTTCGACATCCTCATCCGTAGTGCCTGTCTACAGTTGAGACGATTCTGCCTAGATAAGTGAAGGATATGACTCTTTCAAATTTATTCCATTGATAGTCACTGGTTATCTCCATCACCTCTGTCTTCTCTAGAAGTCAATTGGTGGATAGTGACTAGCAGTGGAATGCAGGGTGTACATTTCGTCCTATCTCGGACTCGTCGTCTGGATACCCCAGTGAGTGATGGTGTTCCCACTGAGGCTCTAACCCAGTGCCTATAGTTTCAAACTCCAAAGCGTTATCCACTAGACCACTTGGGCTGCGAGAACCACCTCTTGTGCAACGGGTCTTATTAATTATTTAATTCAATTTTAGATTTTCCCATCGATTGATTGGACCGAAGTGCTCGGTCTCAGGTTGACACGTCGGCTCCTAGTGCAGATGCTTCAACGATGTCTTCTCTATGTTCACTTGAAGTCGTGTTTTTGCTGCCTTCCACTTCTGCGCACCTGTTGGTTTTCGTCTGTAAGCGATGCAACGAATAAAAATGTGTTTTCTATGGGATTAGTCGCCAGGTTTATTCTATAATAGAATAACTTTATCTAATATAAATAACACACACAGTGATACAGTATTATTTATGTATTGATGGTAAGTTTTCGATTACAATTTATCTCTCATAATCAATCATATCAAGGTGTTCACATAACTTTCAGATTTCTCTCGCTTATACAGATCCGTTAGTCCTTATCCCTCGATTTTACTGGTCATAACATTTTCCATATCTCTAGTATATCGGTGTTGCGTCATTCCTCTTGCAAGTGTTTGATGTAGATTTGATGAATAGGGATTCAGTCATCAACCTCTTGTTTCACCTAACTATATTCCTTTGTAGAAATATAGTTCCTGTCCAACCCTAATTTTTGATTGTGTGTTAGTGCAAGCAAAGCGATCGTTGTACATCTTCCTAGAGTTATTCACTCTACTCTAAGCTAAATTCCTATGTTCTGATAGTCTAACTAACCTTGACATAGGATACTTCCTTCAATTATCTAGGAAGCACTGTTTCAACCACAGGTGGAACAGATGAAGTTGTCAAAGTGTTATGAAAAATGCTTAAGGGTTAACTTAATTGATAGTTGATTTTTAAGTATCGTGTTTCCGATTATTATTCAGTTTATTACAAAATTAATTATGATGGTAGATGAGCAGTTCTGTTTTTAACTCTGTCTATCCGTATTATTACGGTGTGCAATGCCCGAGTCTTTACCAACCTCATTCAGCAGCTGTACGACAATGGCACGTGTCAGGTGGTCCACAATGGGAAACTCAGTGAGGTATTCGAAGTGAATACAGGAGTAAGACAAGGCTGTCCACTGCTATCATTGATGATATTCTTAATTGTGGTGGACTGGATTATGCGTCAGACTGTGAACAGGGAGTGAGAAGACAGGAATACTTTGAACTGACTGGAAGACTCTAGAAGATATGGATTTTTCACGTGGATGTTTTATGTCTAGTGTCACACAAACTCGAAGACTTACAGTCAAGCGAAAAGCAACAAACTGGTAGAAGTGGCTGACGGGCAGCGATGACAGAACTCCAGGTGAACATAGAGAAGACGGAGGTGATGAAGATACCCACCAACCAACAGCAACAACAATCAGCACCAGTCACCATCAACGGGAGAAACTTGAAATTGGTCACTTCCTTCACTTATTTAGGAAGTACGGTTTCAACCACAGGCAGTCACAAAGGATGAAGATGTCGAAACCAGCCAGAATCAGAAAGGCAGTATACGCTTTCATCAGCCTGACACCAGTTTGGAAATCTTCTACACTAACTCAGGCAGCATAAAGAACAAGATCCGGGTTTTCAATGCAAATGTGCAGTCAGTCACGAAAATTATTTCCAACAGGCTGTTGCATACTTATATCAACAGCTGCCTTCACTGGCTCTGTATTGTGAAGATCAAGTGGTCGGCCAGTCAGGAAGAATTAGCAACAACAAACTCTGGCCGGGAACAAACCAACAAGCAAGAGCCGATTGCTCAACAAATATGCAGGAGAAAATGGAGATGGATCAGGCATACGTTGAGGAGACCGTCAAATGACATGGCGCGCAATGCAGACCATTGTTCGAGTAGAACCCGAATAGGAAGAGACGAGTTGATCGTCGGTGCGAGGGTGACATGGAGGAGATGATAGATTATGGGCGATTGTAGACCCAACTGAAGAGGACGCCGGAAGATAGAATAAATTGGAGATGTATTGTTGAAGCCCCCCCCCCCATATTCTACTCGGGACCCAAGGGAATACAAATAATATAATAACTGATTTCGACGTCCTGGATTGACTTCACTATCATTGCAAGTAATTTTTCTTATAGGGTTCTCTAGCCTACGAAGTTTGTAGGTCTGAATGCCACCCTAATTCCTGCTTTATCAAGAATCCTACATAGAGTGTAAGATGTCCCTTCCGTTTAATGGCAACACACTGTGTATACGTTAAATTCAGTCCTGTTTATGTTCTGGTCAGTAGTTCTGATGCAACATTTCATTACCGGGGATATGGCAAATACTATTTCCAATAAAATCAACCAATGGGACTGTTCAAGCGAAATCTTGAAGTTATGTGAACTACCTATACCTTTGTGACGACCAAAACCGATTCGTTGTAGTCTGAACGCAGGGAACACCGATCTTTGCATCCTACTGTGTAGCTGTCTGAAACTTTCTTGAGAGATGTACAGTCACAAACCACCGCTCCGAAGATGGCAAAAGATTGATGCTCATGAGGGCTTCGTGTACTTTTGGAAGTATGTGGGCGGTTGTTACTTCCCGGCTGTCCACACCGTGGAAGTTGATTGATTCTTCGGGTACCTGAAACAGAATGAGGGTTAGTGTTGCGTGACCGCAAAGCCAAGGGGACAACTGCTTGAGGTCGGTCACACACGGCCTGTATGAACTGGTTTCTTGGATTGCTTCCGTATTAGTAAATTTACCGCCGGTTAAGGACCACGGAGGTAAGTCGAAATGTACAATTTTTAGGATTGACCTTTTCTAAAAACCTCTCTCTCCATAGTGGAGAGACAGCATAACTGACATTCTGGTTGTCTGAGTGATACACCATACTGTTGTTACACCCCTATTCCCCAGCAGCATGACTTCGCCCACAAACCCCCAGCATAGTGTAAAAAAGAAAAATTCTTACACTATTGCGGTAACTGATTTTAGTCTAATCGCTATCCTAACAGCCTTCCTGGTATGGCAGGACCTTCAGGAACAATAGTTCGAGCCAGTGTAGCTTGTTAGGTCATTGCGATATGCAAGCCCGACGACCACGTCAAGGTAGCAGCTATCGGTCGGGCAGCAAAAGACTGGATAGATCTGTTTGGTTCTATTTGACAATAATAACATCAAAATTACCTCAACAGTAGCGTTAGACAGCTATAGAGACAAGGTCTTACTGTCAGTAAATATTCACCGTACTATTTGCTAATGTAAATCTCAATATTATGCATCTTGTTAGCTTTTCTATAAATAGATTTTGTTTCTCATTAGTTCTCAGTCCAGGCTACTGATTGGTCGACTAAGTTTATCGATTATAATTTTTCTCTTCGAAATGTGATATGCAGATAGGTAGATAGTTAGATAAATAGATAGATAGAGATAGATATTAACGGAATCTCACTCTCTGTGTTGCAAGTTTTGTAAGTTTATGTGCGTGTAGATTGTATCCTGAAGCCATGGTGTGTAACTTGAGGTGTGAAAACGAAAGCTTTATCAAAATATTTGTACAAATAAAGTTAATATGTGCTATAAAATGTACAAAGGTTTAAGAGCTAGTTAGGTAAACCTGTGAATAGTATTGTGACGAGTGCTACTGATAAGATCTATCAGTAGTATATATATGTGAAGAGTTTATAGACCATCAAGCCTAATGGTCTACGAGCTTGCCTTGTAATCAGAAGGTCCTGGGCTTGAACCCTGTCAGTGGGTGTGTAGTGCTGAAGAGTCTCAAAGCAGGAGGACGAAACAGCTGTCCAGTACTCCTTGCATGTTTTTCAATGGTTCTCTGACGGATGTCAGCTCATGATGAAATCTAGTAAAAGATTGATTAGACATATGAATAGAAATCAATAACAGTTCAATCGACATGCGTGGAACAGAAAGGAAGATAAAGTAAATTCGGAAACAATATTAGTGTTATCAATATATCTGCAAAGATGAATTGTAACTACGACTTTAGGATAATAAAATGCTACTTACTTGACTTCATAAATGACATTTTTAAAAAAATGGGGTTTAAAAAATACAAATGTCACATTTATTCTGTCAACTGCTCAGATCTTAGACGGGATTAAAAGCCGTATAACCATGTACAAGTATTCCCATCCTGATTATGTCTCTTT